GTTGGACTGCATCACCTCAGTGGGTTGGGTTGTGTGTTATGACGCTGTCTGAGTGACATTTAAACTCCCTTAATGCAGATTTAAGGCTGCTGCTTTTATGTCATTTTGGGTTTTCAAACGAGGCGACCGGCGTGAAAGAATCGTGCCGATGTCGTTCGGTGTAATGACGCCGTGCACGGTCTCGTCGTGATCTTTCAGCCAACGATGGCTGCCGTTCTGTGTCGACTGACCAAAGAGAGAAAGCAGCACTGTAAAAGGAAACGCTCAGAGTAGATGGACATGGACTCCTTCAAAGAAAGCTGAAGCTTGTTTGTAGCAGCGGGATGTAGCATGGAAACATGCGTTGGATGCATTCATGCATTGTCACATGTTACATGCAGTCTGTGTGCGTGTCGGGGTCTTTAGCTGCTGCGGGGTCACATTTTGCAGCAGGATGTGCAGCAACGGATCAAAGAAGCTCAAAGTGACGCCGTCTCTAATGTTCTCAGCTCAAGTCTCACACAAATGAGAAGCACAAGCAAAGCCTCCAGTATCTCTGTGCTAAATGTAGATTATCTATTTCCCAGCACACAAACCCTGCTGTAGTTTTCTCTTGGTCCTGGTCCTGGTCTGGATCTGTTGTCCTCCTGTGGTTCAGACCAGAACAATAGAAACTCATAAAGTGAAGCAAAAATGTAGCTGTGTGATTTTTGGGAGGCAGCTGCAGCCACTAAACACAGACGTGAAGCCCAGATCGTCGATCGCAGAGCCGAACCCGGCAGCTCTGCGGTCCCCCGGACCTGGACCCGCTCCATCTCCAAAAGTACCGCTCTCCACTCCACTGTACTGCACTGTACTGGTACAAATAAGCTAACTACATGTGTATTGATATACATGGTATAGCGTACTTTTCAGTACGCTTGCAGCTAAAACTTGTGTAAAAACAATTTCTCACATAAGAAGTGTTTCTCTCCACTTGGCTGAGAGAAACCTCTTAAGACTCCTCCAAATCTCTGCCACTATTAAAGACTTTAAACTAATCAAAGATGATATAATAATATTTCTGTCTGAATATGTAACTAATGCAAAGTTTCTGCACATTCTACGGAAACGTCACAAAATACTCTTTATGCTTTGTGACTACAGGCGTGGATGGGCAGCGATAACCAAGGACCCCCGTGTCTCTGTACGAAGTGACCTCAGATAAAAGATGCAAAACAACCACAAAGAGTGAGAAAACAGCCCACACGGCCCTGTTTTCAGCAGTAACGCAGTCGGTTATGTTTGGAAGGTGGTTTGGACTTTTCAGAAGCGTCTCCTGCTTCTGCTCCACTTTTATCTAAATATGACTTTTCTTAGAGGAGCCCATCGCCGGCTCCAACTTTGGGACCAATCGTTTTGTGAGTCTCTCCTACTCACAGGTTGTTTTTCTTTTTTTTTGTAGAACCAGTCATCGATGAGGAAACTGCATGCTGTCACAAACAGACCCATTATGATTACCATGCATCCAAACTGACCCCCTCATGTGACCAAAGAGCTCATTTCATAAAATTAACTAGAAAATGTTAAATTAGCGCGGACCTCTGAACGCTGAAATGAGAAGAGATTCTTTGGTGGCCAAGAACAACTGAATAATAAAAACAACATATAAAAATTCTGTGTTTGGGTTTGTGTGTGTTTGTTGGCTCCGCGGCTCCGCGGTCCGTCCAAATCCTGACATATTAAAGTCATAAATCTGCACTGGTGGGATGTTTCAGTGCTGCGGATGTGGGGGGAGGGGTGTGTTGCTGGTGGTGGGGCTGACGGCGTCCTCTGGTCCTGAGTTTGGTTTGGTTTTGTGTTTTGTAACTCTGGGTGGAGTCTAATTGCTGGTGTTTAATCTGGTTTGGTTTGCAGTTGAGAATAAAAATGAATCTGAGATCAGTTTGACTGCGATGATTCGGTGTTAAAGTAACTTAAGGGGGACCTTTTCCACTTAAATTTGCCTCCTGATTGGCAAACCTCCATAAGTAGCAGCTGAGCTTTTAAATATGTTGACCTATTTATTTGAAACTTTGGTCAAACCTTTGTTTAATATGATCGTCCAAAAGTGCAACGATCAGAAGAAGACGGGAAATAAGAGAAGAGACTGAAAAGGTCCTCTTTAACTTGACGCGAGAAGTCCAGAGTTTGCCTCCCGGCTCCTCAAAGCAGCCTCGAAGTCTGGGATCAGGTCTGATCCCTTCCCCCCTCTCCTCTCTCTCTTTTCTCAGAGACGCCTTCCTGCGCATCCTGGCTGCCCAACAGTGGCAGAGGAAGCGAAAGACTAAAGACTTGAGCGAGATTAAGTTGCCCTCACTTGATGATGCCGTAACGTCAACTTTGGAGGGGACAGCGGACGAGGGCGCAGCCGAAGTGCCGTCACGTCACGGTAAAGCTTCACATTACAGTCACAGAGCTGCACACAGCCTCCTGATGCACACGTGGTTCTGTTACTGTGTGATGGTGTTAATGCTGCTCCTGTGACTCCAGATTAAGTGAATGTGTGAGCTGACAGCCACTCTTCTGCTTACTGTGTGTGTGTGTGTGTGTGTGTGTGTGTGTGTGTGTGTGTGTGTGTGTTTTCAGACTCAACATCAAGCAGTTTGGAAACAAACGGACATTCAGACTCCCAGGATGACCCAGGTGAGAGCCTACAGCTGCCCTCTACAGGCAGAGACAGGAACTGCAGGACACATCTTCTCCTGAATCAGTCTGTTGGCATAAACTTAAAAACCAGTGTTTTTGTCTGCAGCACCGCTTGTGCAGCGACAGGGCAGCACGTTATCCAACGACACAAAGTTCATGCTCGACATGCTCTACTCAAAGACGGGACCCATGAGCCCCTCTGCAGCTGCAGACACCAATGAAGAAGAGAGGAGCTTCGTGCCTGGTGAGAGAGCCGCTTTTCTGCAGCTCGCTGCACATCCCAGACTTTATTTATTGTCATATATATTAATAAAGTTGCAAAAACGTTCTTCTGTTCTTTTGTGATTTCGTTCCCTTTCCCAGCAGGTGACGATGTGGCTGCTCGGGGTCGTGTGACTGAGCGTCTGTCCAGCTTCAAAGCGCGCTCGGCAGAGTCCTCCACCTCCAACGAGAGCAGCGCCTCCCGCAGGGCAGAGCTGGAGAGTCTGGAAGGCTCAACGCAGGCGGCACGAGCCCGACTGGCTGAAGAACAGGTCAGAACATGAAGGACGTTATTCTGTCTGCAGATGCTTTTCTTCTTCTTCTCTGCGGATCCGCAGGTTTTTAAAAGCAGTGTTTCTGTACTCGGTTTATCCTTCGTTCTTTAGTCACTTATCTGCATCTATCTTTAAAGTGAATCGGGTTTTAGTTGATGCACCGAGTTACTGTACAGGCTTGAGCCAAAACATGATGGTCTGGATAAGTCGAGTTTCTTGGGTCTATGAGAACATTGAGGTGAGGAGCTGAACTTCTGCAACAGGACTCTAGAGATTCTCTGAAATGTCGTGAGGAGCTCAGCAGAGTTCCTGTAACGAGTGCTGAGGTCATTTCTGCGACACGACGTTCATGGCGAGCAGAACAAATCAGCGTTTGCTTTTCACGAAATTTATTCTACAAATCCTGACATGCAATAATAACAGAGAGCATGCTGCTGCAGCTCCTCTGTTATTAAAGTGGTGCTGCTTTCTTGTTGTAGCCCCTCCCACACCCGCCTGCATCAGTGGCTCCAGTTTGAGGCCCGCTGGCTTCACGTTGGTGCTAAAGAGCAGGTGGAGTTGCGGGGCCGCATCATGTTTTGGCTCATGTGTGCAGTTTGAAGGTTGAACGTAAAGCTGATAAATGTGTCTCCATCCACCATCAGAAGCGTTACATCCGGCACCAGAGCAGCATCGACACCGAGGCGCACACCGGCAGTCTGGACACCACCCAGATGACCCCGCTAGGCCCCGGCAGCTCCAACGACGCCTGGGACCAGCTGCAGCCGAGCGCCGCCGCCCTACGCATCAAGGACTTGGACTTTTCTGACCTGCTGGACGAGGAGGACATCGACGTCCTGGACATAGACACCTTCGACAGCTCCGCTTCATCCTTCACCCTCTCTGGAATCCCTCCCCCTCCTCCTCCCCCTCCTGGCATGCCGGGGGCTCCTCCCCCTCCTCCTCCACCTCCTCTACCGGCAGGTCTTGCACCCCCTCCTCCTCCACCTCCTCCACCAGGAGGCCTCGCACCCCCTCCTCCTCCACCTCCACCAGGTGTCCCCCCTCCTCCTCTTCTTGAGGCCTCTCAGAAGAAGAAGAAGACGGTGAAGCTGTTCTGGAAGGAGCTGAAGCAGGCAGACGGACCGAAGAAGTGTCGCTTCGGTCGGGGGACGGTGTGGGCGTCTCTGGATAAGGTGGCAGTGGACACCGCCCGCCTCGAGCATCTGTTTGAGTCCAAAGGCAAGGAGCTCCCTGTAACCAAGGTGGGTGGATGATAGATTCTCTTAAAAAAACGTAACCCTGGAGAACCCATGGGGTCAGAGCCGACCCCATTGGGTCAAATTTGACCCCATGGGTTCTCCAGGGTTAAAACCCTGCCTGAGACCCACAGAGAGCAAAATGAGATGCACTCGAGAGGCTTTAAAAAGGCGGGCTGCAGAAAGAGTATCCAATGTCAAACACATACGAGCTCATTTAAAGCGGTCTGCCACAGTTTGACCACCAGGGGGCTCCAGCGGGCTGTAAAATCCCTTCACTTTTACACTTAATGTTTCAACTCAAACCACAAATTAAACAAGCAGTGAATGCTAAACAGAAAATGAACATAATCAGTGTGTTTAGTTTAACCAACTGTCAGTTTACCATTAAGTGATGATTGTTAAGAAGTGTTACTGTGTAACTTTATGACATCACAGGAAGCGCTGACACTGCTAGTCGCGCGCGAGCGGCTCTCTTCCAAAGCTGGAGGAGGAATTATTGAGCAGGAAAACTGTCGCACTCGTCGCGTTTCTAACATGTCGCTTGTGTGCAGAAAGGACCGGAGACCAAGAAGACTGAGATTCTGGTTCTGGACTCAAAGAGGAGTAACGCCATCAACATCGGTATGACCGTCCTGCCAGCGATCCACGTCATCAAGTCGGCCATTCTCAGCTTCGACGAGTTCGCCATTAGCAAAGAGGGCATCGAGGTAGGGGTGACTTCCTGTGTGCGGACGGATCGCAGTCTGATCCATCTGCTGTTTCATCTTCAACTTTAACGCTATGGGCCCTCTCTCTGTCCTGAGCAGAAGATCCTGACCATGACCCCCACAGAGGAGGAGAAGCAGAAGATCCAGGAGGCTCAGCTCGCCAATCCTGACCTCCCTCTGGGCACAGCAGAGCAGTTCCTGCTCACCCTGGCCTCCATCAATGGCCTGACCCCCCGCCTTCAGCTCTGGGCCTTCAAACTGAACTACGAGGCTCTGGAGAAGGTAAGCGAGCTGATTGCAGATCATTAGAAGATTTACACCTGAAAGTCACCTGAGTTCAGCTCAGCAAGATTACAGAAAAACTGGATCTGATTATAGTTAGGCTGTTATACTGCAATGCTGAGACTGTGACTGTGTCGCCCCTGCAGGAGATAGCCGAACCGCTGTTTGACCTGAAGCTCGGCATGGAGCAGCTCGCCTCCAATCAGACCTTCAGGAGAATCCTGGCGACGCTGCTCGCCATCGGAAACTTCCTCAACAGCTCCAACGTGAGGAGGGACCCAACCCCACGCACGCATGCACATTCTAGTTTGATATCCTAGTGAGGACATAATGCTTTCCCTAGCTGCTCAGCCTAACCCTCAGCCTCACCCTAACACAACCCTAACTGTACCCACAAAGCTGTCTAAATAGACAAACACACACATGACGAGGTGTAGAAACTCAACTCTCGCAGCAGGAAATGTGAATCCCTCCATGGTTAGAAAAACTCACGTGCAGTTTGTACACGTCATTAAAGTAAACATACTTGCATATGAGTGATTTTACTGCTGCAGCAGGCAGTGATAACATATTCCAGACGTATCCAAATAAACTGAACAGCTGCTGCACAGAGTAGTTTGGTTGTCAGGTTAAAAACACTTTTCCCTGGTGGTTCAGCGACATGTGACAGCACTCTGACTGCAGCCAGTCAGCAGCAGGGAGGTCAGCGGTGCTTCAATATGAGCTGACAGCAGCTGCTACACAACACGAGAGCCACAGCCTCACGTTTCCTTCACTGCACCCTGCTGTTCACAGACAGGCTGTATGCACGGTTACTCACAGGAAGATGGAAGCAGCTGTTTATTCCCCGACTTCTTTATAAAAACTGAATACATCGGTGTTTAGGAAGAGTTTTATGATCTGTGACAGTAAATGAACCAGGGCTTAAAATATTGAATGGCTGATTAAAAAGGATGTAGCAGCAGGTCTGCTAACAGCTGCTGTCCTCCTCACTTTATCACATCAAAGAGAACTGAACCTAAACCACAGCAGGGCTGTTCCAGAGGCTGTGCATCGTGTTTGCTGCCCTAACAGAAGGGGATTGAAGGCGCTGTTAGGATGTCGTCGCCATCTTCCTCATCATCACTGCACAGTTTAAACTGTAAAGGTTACAGACTAGCAAACCAAGCTAGAATAAATACACAGCAGCAGCATTTTACATTTCTAAAGGGAAAGCTCAGATTTTGCAGTACTGTATCAAGAGGGAGGTTTGTGCTCTCAAACGGACTTTCGGCTGAAGCTTTCATTTGTTTGTGTTTATATATTTGCATGTTATTAAAAGTGAGATAAAATCAGGTTGAAAGAGCTTGATTTAAGCTTTATTTCCACGTGCTGGCACTCTGAATCAGGCCTTTAAAAAGCCTGCACATACGTATTTATTCAAATCCTCTGATGGACTAATTTATCATTGATAAATCAGTGGAGTCAGAAAAACAGATCCCAGGAAGTGATCCCAGCTGTTTGACCTCGCTGAAGTCACAAAGAACAGTTAGAGCGCTGCAGGGCTGTTGTGCTGGACACTACACCACGTCCAATATAATATCCCACAATGCAATGCAGTAGTGACCTGTGTCACAACAGACACTGCTGGATGGTGATGATCTAGTAGTTCAAATATCTTTACTGGGTGTAGTGTACTTTTCACATGTGCTAATCATTACTTGGATCATGTCATGGGTGGGGTTTGGTTACCATGGTTACGTGTCTTCAAGCGGTAGTTCGTCTGGGATATTAGATCTGGCCAATGAGACGCCTCTGTGATGGGTAAGAATCTCAAACACGTGCACGGTGCTTTGTTTACATCCAAACGTATCTCTGACAGCGAGGGCCAGTTTGTTATTCCTCTAAACAAAGAGTCAAGATTGGAGATTTCAGGCGGAGATCAAACATCGTCCTCTGAATCTGTGTGTGCGTGTGTGTGCGCAGGCTAAAGGCTTTGAGCTGAGTTACCTGGAGAAAGTGGTGGAGGTGAAGGACACGGTTCACCGTCAGTCTCTGCTTCATCACACCTGTAACCTGGTGGTGGAAAATTACCCAGAATCCTCTGACGTCTACTCTGAGATCCCCGCCATCACCCGCTCGGCCAAAGTACAGTTCAGTCCTTCTCACCTTCACGCCGCCCTGATGTAAAATCGCCTGGTGCTGACTAGTTTACTTTTTTCTCCAGGTGGACTTTGAGCTGCTGTCAGAGAACCTGGTCCAGCTTGAGAGACGCTGCAAAGCATCATGGGACAACCTGAAGGTGGTGGCCAAACATGAAACCAAAGCGGCGCTGAAGAACAAACTAACGGACTTCCTGAAGGACTGCACGCAGAGGATCATCATCCTGAAGGTCGTCCACAGGAGAGTCATCAACAGGTGACACATCAGCATGCGCGCACACACACACACACACACTGTCCTCGGCACGATGATGCACTGACCTCTTCCTCCTCCAGGTTCCACTCCTTCCTGCTGTTCCTGGGTCAGCCGTCGTCTTCGGTCAGAGACGTCAAGGTGACAAATTTCTGTCGGATCATCAGCGAGTTCGCTCTGGAATATCGCACCACCAGAGAGCGAGTGCTCACCATCAAACGGAAACGCGCAGTTCACCGAGAGCGCACCAAGACGCGAGGAAAGATGATCACCGAGGTAAGACTCTGCCCTGCATGTCAGAGGTCAGCGGCAACAGAATCACAAAATCTGAGCTACTTGATTTAAGCCAGTGCCAATCAGTTAACACGTTATCTACATAGAATATCAAATATTTGTATTAATTAGAGAACGGCACCAAAGCCCACAGACTTCTAGCTTCCCAGGTTTGTAGTTTTTAAATAGCAGATTCACATAATGGTTGAATCTCACTGAACTTCTCGGATGATCTTTCAGTACAATTTAAACCACTGTAAACACACCTCTCAATCAGAGCCGCCACGCCTCCATCTTCAGGCTTTAATTAAATTCAAATGGACGAGGTATAAATCAGTTTACTGCCTGTGTGATTATTGCAAAGGAGGAAATCAGCTTCACAGACCAAAACATTTTTCTGCAGCAGGCTGTAAATGCGTTTAACTCTGCTGTAAAGTTGGACATTTTAACATGGAAGTCTATGGGGAGTGACTCACTTTTGGAGTATGCCTCCAGTGGCCACTCGAGGAACTGCAGTTTGTGACGCGTCTTCGATCCTTAGATGCCACCAGAATTCACTGTTGAACAGAGAGGAATAAAAGAAACCATTTACAATCTAGAGATTAAATCACTGTTTACAGATATTATATTCTAAAGTGGGCTTATCCTCTTTCTCCCGTCCTCAGACGGAGAAGTTTTCAGGGGCGGTGTCACGTCCGGACAGCCCGTCCCCTGTTTCTATGGCAGCGGAGGCAGACCAAGATCAGGAGGAGGAGCATAAGAACATGAAGAACCTGCTGATCAGTCGCAGCAGCACCCTGAACTGTGATCAGAGAGGCCTGAGGCGCTCCCGAGCCGTCCGCAGTAAGACCAGCAGCTTTCTTCACCTCCACACGACTCCCACAATAACTGACTGTCAGCGCCACGTTCACCTCCAGCATCAGTTTAACTTTAAGGCCGTCAGGCTCGTGCTGCTTTTGCTAGAAATGAGCGTTCAACCAGTAAAATCAGACATTGAGATCCGGTCTGCAGCACGATATTCCCCACATTTTAATGTCATCGGAGTGAGGACTCAGAAAAATGTGACTGCGTCGTGCAGAGAAAAAAGTGAAATCATTTTCCTTTGCTTAAATCTGAGTAGAGCCATCAGCGGCCGGCGCCGCTCCACCGGACGCTGTAGAAACGTCCTTCAGGGCTCATTCAGAGTTACTCTGGTTGGTTAAAATGAAAAAAAGTTTTCTTTTCCGAACATTTCCATCAACATAATGACTCCATTTATAAACTAACGTAATGAGCGATTGTTTCGGCACGCTCTGAATTAATTATTCGGACGTCTAGTGAGTCTGGCAGATGCTGCGTCACACTGAAATTAAGCCGAAAGTTAGAAAATTGGGATAAATACTCTACTTAATTGGGATAAATACTACTAAACTCTGAACCAGTTCGAGCAGCTGGGGATGGGAACACCCAGGCGCCCTCGCCCTGCTCTTTATCGCGTTCCTGCTCGTGGCTAATGTTCCGGTTCTGGTCCTCAGGTCTCGGCAGGGTGGAGCCGCCCAAGATGTCTTTAGCCAAAGAAGACGAGACGAGCTCCCAGGACGACGCCACAGATGAGATCATGGACCGACTCGTCAAGTCTGTTACCCAGAATCCCTCCGGCAGATCGTCCAGCCCCAAGAACCGCAAGCGGTCCCGACTGAATAGGAAGTCACGTGAGTATGAATTTACTTCTTAATATTGATTCGCTGTGACGTCATCAGATGGTGAGTGCGAGGACGTGCCTAATTTTTTGTGACCTTGCAGACTTGTGGGCGGAGCGTTTAGGCCGTGTTGGCTTTGCTGAGCCTTCGGGTCTCCAGCGGTCCCTCGAGTGTAGTCGAGGCTTTATGTGACTTCAACTCCCAGGGTGCATTTCTGCAAAAGCAGTCTATTAGCTTAAAATCAGCATTTTCATTTAAATGAGTCTCATGTAGTTCATCATCTGTCTGAAATGAGCGCCTGTCTCTTTAAGCTCCGCCCTCCATACGTGCTTTCTTCTAACTGGCTAACTTTCAGAAGCCTGCTGAGGGGCACCTGGAAGAAAAACCACATTTCTTTTTTCTTTTCTTTTTTTAAATCTTTCACGTTTATGTATTTGTTTATTTAATTTTAGTGAATTTTATGGTTTTGGTCAAACACAGCTGAAGACGTTTTCACTCATGTTTAAATTTTTGCTTTTGAGAATTCTTCAAAGCTTCTTTTTGTTTTACTTCAGTCACTTTTTTCCACTCACAGTTTAAACTGACGAACGCAACGCTGCTTTCCAAAGGACGACCTGAAAAGCGAAACCTGAGCGAGGGGAAGCAGCTGCCCCTCACGTTCCCCTGCTGTGTTATTTAAGGTTTAGGGACCCGTCCTGCTGAAGGTCGAGTCCTCTGAGCTTCAGTCTGGTTCAGACTGCGTGGAGACACAACAGCAGCTGTGTGTCCAAAACAAGCTGATATCTGTGCAGCTTCATATCACTGTTTGCACTTCCTCAGTAAATCTGTCCACAGCAGCAGATAATCATCATCATCCTACTGCTGAGCGCAGGACACGATGAACTGCTGCTCGCAGGCTGCAGACTCATTTCTAAGTAACTTGGCGGCAGTGCGATAAACTGCAATCTTTGATTGGAACATTTTTGGAGTGTTTGACCTTCACGAGGTGTTTTAAAGCAAAAGACGCACAAATCTGCAGCTTCTGGCTTCTCAGATTCGAGGAGATGATGATGATGATGATTATTTACATTTGCATGACTAAAACTGACACTGTGCAAGAAACTAGTGCAGATTACATGAGTAATTAGTACATTTACGCTATAAATCTGAGAAAAAGGCTGAAAGACGGTATAATAGAGAAATATGTGTGGAATAGCACAGAAAGACGTGTTATGAAGACCTGTAGGAACGAGTTCCTGAAGCGTTCTCTTCTAGGAGCAGATAAATGGCTGTTTTTTTTCTTCCAAGTAAAATAGTTGTTATCAGGCAGAAGCTGGGAGTCGCTGGTCCACCCGAGCCTCCTCTTTGGTCTGTTCTAAGACGTTATAGCCCCAAAGACACAAAGAAATGAGTTTGAGGCAGGAGATATTTTAAACTTTTTATTTTTGGGCTGAAGATTTTCTGAAGAGTTTTGTGAAAAGAATCAAAATCAATGAAGAAGAAAGTTGAGCCCCAGCTTCCTGTAATGCTGACGTTGTTTCTGTGTGTTTCAGTGAGGAGGACTCTGAAGAGCGGCCTCAGTGTGGACGTGGTTCAGGCTCTGGGACTCAACAACAAGACGGCAGGAGACAGAGTCTGAGCTGCGACTGCAGCTGATCGATAAATCGGCGAACTATTGATTACAGAGACTGAACCCAGACCAGCTGAGCGGCTCCAGCAGACGTCGGGAGACGTGCGCTCTGCATTTGGAGACTCCTCCACCGGCACATCTGCCGCAGCTGTTCGGACACTTTGATGTAGAAGTAGTTGTGAGAAGAATTTTTCCCTCGTGACAGATTTTTACTGGTTTCCTGCAGCTTTGAAACATTTAGATGCTCACGAGGAAATCTGGACGCAGAGCTGTGGTCTTACTGAGAAATGAGTTTAATGTGTCGTTGTCAGGTGTCCGTCCAGAACTGAAAGTGTGAGAGTCGGATAAATGAAATGCGAGCAGAAGCAGAGCAAAGCCTTCGACCTCTCGAACTGCTCCCATGTTTGTTTTTGAAGTTTTAACTTGAATCGCCGCTGGCTCTGAAGTGTCACTGTCTGTGTGTCTCTTCCTGTCTGACTCTCGGCTCGAGCTCATCGAGATCTCAAAACAGTTTCTGGGTTTGGAACACGTGGCACGCTCGGGCACGCCACCCCGGCTGTTTTAGAAGGCCGGCGGTTTGTTGTTTTGAAAGTTGTTTCTGGGTTTTTTGGTGATTAGTTTAAATTGAAACTTTTGGTATTTTGTTACATTTTCACTGACTTTAAGATAACTTTGGGAAGTTCCCCAGTTTATAGTCTGTGTGTTTGCTTTAAGTCGAGCATGGCCTCCCCGACACACGTCGCTTGTACCTGCTCATTTTTGTTGTTCAGTCTTCTGCGTTACCGCCACCTGCTGGACTGGAGTGTTACCATAATCTTTAGAGCGCGTGTAAACAGACCATCAGCGATGTGAAGGAACCGTTTCGCTCCTTAAATTATAAACTGGGAATAAAATTTCACAGCTGTTCTTAATATGAACTTTTCCTAAATTTAAGTGTAAAAAGTATGTAATAAGGGAGCCACAACATGTGTAGTTTCTGAGCACGTCTGCAAAGCTGGATGCAGATTTAATGCCAGTGAGAACAGTGAGATGACGCGCTTGAGTCTGAACATGACATCATGAGTGAAACTGGCATGGGAGCAGTCTGAGTTTGTTTTACTGGCCACGTCCAAACGCCCGTCCTCAAAAATGAAATCGAGGGAAAGAAGTCATCCGGCACATAAAACATTTTTAATTGGTGGGCTTTACCGCTGCTGTCAGGTGATCCAGGCTCCAGTTCTCTGCATGTCCAGTTTTTATGCAAAGCTAAGCTTTATTTTTACTGTCGTATTTCACAGGATGGACTCTTCTGTTAAAGGTTCGTCACTGGATGGCCTCAAATTCTTTATTTCACAGCCAAAAACTGTCAGCGAAGGATCAGGAAGAGTTCAGCAGAAACGGCTGTGAGGGTAAACTTTAAAATTCAATAGAAACGACAGGCTGGTGAATATATTTAACTTATTGAAGTGTGTGAAATATCCTCACGTTTAGCTCATTAAGTGGTCTGTTTTAACTTTAAACCCGGCGACTGTGAGACTTTAGAAAATATCATAATATAATTACAATTTTAAACCTGTTTTCCTAAGTAAATGAAAGTGTGTTTGATGGATTTGGAGGCAAATGTACTTCATAGAAAGCTCAGCTGACATAATTATCAAACAGCAGGGTCCATTTAGTGGCTGTTCTGAGGATTATCTGAGGAATACGTTGCAAATAAAAGGTCAGGTTCTTGTTAGATTTGTCATCCTGAAGCTGAATTGCACTCCGACCTGCACAGAGTTGAAGAGTTTGCAGAGTTTGCTGTTGCAGCGTCACAAACGGCACAAAGGTGGTCTGTTTAAAAACTTGACAGTTGTATAGTTTTATTTAAATTCAAGGTGAACGTGGGCTCATCAGGTCAAAACACATGGCACGGACTGGAAGGCGTGGTCACACGGACTCGGGCCCTCGTGGAGGCGTGGTCTTCAAACCGATTAATGCTCAGTTTGGAAAATTTTAATCACACATGTTAAAAAAAAAAGTTGGATTAAAACCTAAAATCACTTACGTGGTACAAACGTGTGTGTGTGTGTGTGTGTGTGTGTGTGTGTGTGTGTGTGTGTGATTACAGGACTAACAGTGTGTGTCGGTCTTGGTGTTTTTGGCACTCTGAGGTGTTTTCATGGTTTCTTTCTGCGGCTGACTTCAGGTCAGTTTGTGTGAAAAGCTTCTTCACATATTTTTTTTTTTTTCATTCACAAACAGATGACGACTTTGTTTTAACTTAAAGAGCAAGACGAACATTTTATAAAAATATTAAATGGATGGTTCAATGTGTCGCTTGTATAATTAATAAAGATTTTTAAGAAGAGAGACGTGTTTGCAGTCTGTTCATTCACTCCACACAACAATATTGTCACGTTCCTCGTGCCTCATGTTATATTCTTCCACTGGACATCCACCCACTACACCTGCAGTGGCTCCACACCCTTCATTTCCCACAGATTAAAGCAACGCCTTCCTTTTCCACTCTGCATGCTAAACAGCTGCTCTCCAACACTTACAGCAGCCTCTGTGGGTTTTCAGCACGCTGGAATGACGCATTCAACAATGCAGCAATATGAAGCTGCAAACCAAAGACTGTAGATAGAAGATGGACAGCCAAAGCTTGTGTGTTAAAGAAACTGAGGTTACAAAAAGAAGCCTGAGGGGAAACAGATTCTTTAATCCGGTGATTTAAAACCTCATTAAACACTTTCCTGATGTGTTTATGGTCTAACCCAAGTTTCATGGTTGTAATGAATAAACTATGACGTTTTCTCTTGTATCAGTCGCGATTGATTGGTTTCTGTTCCTGGTATGAAAACGTCTGAAAGTTCAAAGTATTTTTTAATCTCCACCCCTCTTCAATCTCTACTTCAGTGGTGTGAAACATAAAGCCCGGGGGGCAGAATCGGCCCAGCAAAGACTGAAGAAGGACATAAACTTTGGGTTTTGAACTATATTTTGCAGGTTTTACAGTCTGTTTGTTTGGGGGGTTTACTACAATACTACAAAATATTTCATCGACAATCATTAACAGGTTTCGGTGAGCTCCCAGAAACTTTTCTGTAATTTTACTTTTAAGCCCAAAGACTCGTGCTGACAGATTTCTTGTAGCAAAACTGAGTGGTATGCATTTCTTTTTTTTCTTCCTTATATTAAGATATCGCGGGAATTAAATGTGCAGTTAAACTTCTTTGGATTCCCAGACAGAGAAGCTTCACTGGTCTGGGCCATTTAAAGCCCAAACCAGGCCCGTGATGTAAAACGAGTTTGACATCCCTGCTCTGTGTGGAGGTTTTGTGTATTTCCACTGTATTGTGTGAAATGGAAAAATGATAAAATTCTACTTATTTTTCTCAGACTGACCACTGCTTTTTGTTTTCTTTTAAATGGGGCGAGAGTCTTTCCCTTCCAGCTCGGGTCCAGGCTTTTAGCTACGGTGAACACTCTCGTTCTCTGCTTTAATTAGTGCCTCAGGTTGTGGCGGCCTCATCGTGAAAAAGCTCCTGCTATGCAGGGTGCGGCGTATGGACGACCACAAGAGCCACACGCATGGAAATAAAGAATTCTGTAAATAATGAATTTACAAATGCATAATTTATTGTACAATTTATTTAAGCACAGAATTCTTTATTTCGATGTGTGCGGCTCTTGTGGTCCTCCATAGCAGTGTGCCCGAGTCACATCTACTCCACATCTACTACGATTATCACTCCCATCTTCTATATACAGTCTGTTTCAGGAGGCTGTCATTTAATCGTGAGCCTGCTTTACACTGTGCTGTTTTGGGTGAGGACTGTAGTTTAACGTGTTCATGTTCTGGTTTTACAAGATGATCACATCTGTTCATACATTTATTAAATCTTCACATAGTTTTTCTTTTTGCTGGAGAATGACCCAGATGGGACCTCATGTCTTCTCATTCAGTGTTTTCTTTCTCCCCAAGCTGGCTCTGCCCCTTCACCATGTTTCTCCAGATCACCTCCTGGTGCTCCTCCTCAGTAATCCTCCCAAAGGAGCAGAGCACACTTGAACAACACGGAAAGGGAAAAAAGAAAAAGGGGGTGGGGGTGGGGGGGAATCTACAATCACCAGATGTTTGCAAAGTTCAAACATGTCAATGAACTGAAAATCTGACGTCACGCCGAGCAGTATTGATGTGTGACGTCATAGCCGATCGGTACCGAGCATCAGCTGTGAGTCAGTCAGCGGGAGAGCTTCACCTGCAGTGTCTCCGTCTCTTTAAAGGGGGACTGGGCGGGTCACATGCCGGCTCCGGTGTCCCCTCCTCCGTGTCTTACCGGAGTCTGAGTGTGTGTGAGCGTGGGTCCATGCGCGCGCGCGTGTGTGTTGTTGATGTTGTAAACCGGCTCCCGGCCTCGCTCCGCGTCCTCTCCGTGTCCCGGTGTGTATATAAAGACTCGGAGGATGTCCGCCCGCTGAGCTCCAGGGACGAGATGCTGCCGCTCGGACTGATGCTGCTCCTGCTGCCGGCCGCCTCCGCCGACCTGCCCGGGACGGGCGCTCCGCCGCTCCGGGGGCCGGGGCTCGGCTTCTCTCCACCGGTCCCCGCCTCTCCCTCCGCCCCGCCGCTCCTCCTCCCGCAGCCCGGGGCGGAATACGGGGCGCCCGGCGTCGCCTTGGCCCGGTCCGCTGCAGAGGAGCCGACCGGCACCGGAGAGGAGGAAGACGCAGGGGAGCATGATCATCATCACGGCGGCGGGTACCGGGTGGTCCAGTGGGAGTGGAGCTACGTCCAGACCCCGTACATCATCGCCATCTGGCTACTGGTGGCCAGCGTGGCCAAGATCTGTAAGTGTGTGTGTGTGTGTTTGTGTGTGTTTGTTTCCCAGCACCAGTACACAGACTGGAACTTCACTGGTCTCCTTACTGCAGCTGGAACCAGACTGGAAGTTTAATGAGAGTCAGGGAATGGCTGCAGCCACTGCCGGACTCACCTGCTGCGGAGCCACGGGCCACAAAGTTCCTGCTGGGCCCCCCGAACCCACCCCATTTTTGATATAGTAAACACTGATGTCTAAATCATTGGTGATGTTTCTAACCCTGATTATTGTCAGCTACCAAAATAATAATAATAATTGTAAAAAATGGTAGAGAAAAGCAAAAGTAAATGATTTTTTTTGTTTGATTGTTACCAGGGTTTTTAGAACAACTTTAAAAGAAGAATTAGGCTCATTACTGATGGTGACTTTGAGCTGACGGCTTAATTCATTAAATGGTTGAAAAAATAAGTAACAAATATTTTCTTTTTTAAAACGAAGACACTTATAACTGCCAATAATTGTAATATTTTACTAATAATATTAACCAACAAGTGACCACGCTATTTTAGCAGTATGCCCCAGTGGGGTCTCCTACTCAGCTTGGGATAATTTCCTTCTTTTATAGTTTTCTCTGATAATGAACACTTTTGTAATCGACGAAACAAGAGTTTAAAATATTTTCTGAGTTTGAAAGTAATGATTGGAGTTTTAGATAAGGAGGAAGAACTAACTGCTGGTTTTAGCCTCACAGTTCTCCTATGAAATCTTTATCAGTCACTGTACATGCTGAACAACTCGATAAAAGACCAAGTTTAATCAAATGGCATCTGTACAAACTAAAATAACTGAGCTTTTTAAGATTTTGGTTGCATATGAAATGTTCTTCTTCTGTGTACATTTTTAATAAAGGT